CCCAGAACTTTTCATTATTCCGGACCCCTCAAACAATAGCTGATCCTGAATAAATTTCCCCGAAACTTTTCATTCTTGCGCCCACCTCCATTAAATCGGGTACCACATTACAATGCAGAGTTTAGGGTTTACACCCAAGTCATGGTCGCTGCACTTTACAGTTAATTATTTACAGGCTACAGCTTTCGCAGAGTCAGATTCAAATTTCTTGCGCTACTCTTACTATCTAAATAAAAGGCTGGAAGCCATAGACTGATTCAACGATGAAACATACTGGTGTTTTGCACTGGGTCTGAAGCTTGCCAGGCCTAAGCTACGCTGCAGTATTGACAGTACTGCGTATCAAACAATGGGATACTTTAGTCACAAGCGCTACAGGAAGAAGGCCTACAAAATTGACCCCCAAACATATGCAATGTCAGCAATTAGAGTTTAGGGTGCAATGGACTGGTAGAGGTCAAGATGATATCTGGCTTGCCATGGCCCTTCCCAACCACACTCTAAGCGCAGGTAGACCCGCAACCTAGCCACCACTTGCAAATGTTAACTTCGAATACATAACACGCCTACAGAACTGGAAGCTCCGCACTCAGACGCTTCCTCATTCTCCGGTGGTAGAGATCTGACAACTGACCCCAAGAAACGAAAAATTGAAACGAGTTCCATGCCTTAGTGGTTGCTAGTAGGGAAGGAAGGAATCGATTTCCTATATAATCCCTACATTATGTATTCCCTTATTCTCTACTAACCCCAAATACCATGCGGTCCTTTGGAGAGCTGCTTTCGGACTGCCCCTCTGCGGTAGATGCGGCTGCGGTAGATGCGGTCTCCATGGATAGTTTCAGAGCTGCCTGCAGCCATCTCATGCTGAACACCACAATTTAACTGAATATAGAGAATATGGGGTTTACAAGGTTTAGCTTATGTTGGGGTAGTATAGGGATATATAATGGAAAAGCAAATGGAAACTACTAATTCGAGTCTAGGCTTTTTTTTAACACACCCTTGTCCGCCTGCCCAAAGGGTCAAACGAAAGGAGCAGTTGTACACAGGGGAAAATGCGAAATCACTAGTTGAACCAACCAGAAGGGAAGGTTTCCATCACCCCATCGCATTTCAAGGGATGCAGAACACACCCTGGGACACACAGGGTCACGGTCAAAGCACAACGGGAAACACACACTCCTTACCAAGTGCAGAATCCTCAGGCAAAGGATAGCAGCGCAAAAAACATCACCATCCCGATGAGCAAGCCAGCAGGTTCACAAGCAGCCCGAACATCAAGCATAGTCCCACACCAGGGATCCGCCCTTCACCATGGGCGTCTCCCACCAAGCCACGCCCATCGTCCACTTGATCTTGTCGGTCTTCATCATTGGCCGTGTCCAGGAGGGTAGACGAACGGTGTTTCCAAGCTGCCTCTCTGCGTTTGCGGAACCACTCCAAAGCCCCAGAGTTTAGGGTTTAGGGTCTAGGGTCGACAGGGTTTAGCTTATATTGGGATAGTGTAGGGGTAGTGGACAAGAAAATGGAAACTATTTAGATTTAGGGCTCATAGGGTTTATAGGATTTAGGTTAGATCGGGGTAGTATAGAGACAATGGAAAGGAAATGGAAACTACTGATTCGAGGCTAGGGTCTAGGGTTTGAAGCCTATTGGGTCTGTATAGGGATGATGGCAAAGACAATGGAAACTACCATACTGTAATATGTATATGGTTTTAGTAGGGAATAAGGGAATACACTACATGGGTATTATATACATGTGTGTATGGATCATCCCCTTGTTCTTTACCAACCCCCGTGAGATAATACAACCAGATATCAGGAGCTGCCTTTTCCTGGTTTACTTAGCTCACACTACCCTAGCAAGAAAACTGGATCCCTTTTACATAAGTTATAAGGACTCCCATATGCCAAAAAACTAAAAGATCCCTAGCATTTATCCAGTTTAGGGTCCTGTGTACTTACAAACAATCATTACTGTACCAGTAATAGGGCTGCCTCATTGACAGGGGAGCAAATGCTTTGAGCTGAGGGTAGGTTGCAAGTTTCTGCTGTGTTTTCCTTCTTAATGCTGACGTGTCATGTTCTTCATCCAGTCCGCACAACTGCGAACTTTTCCATGAGTAACATCCACTCAAAACATTACAATGCTTTTACAGCCCCTTCCCTTTTTGCAACAGGCTTTCATGCGCCGTCGCCTGGAAGTGCTCCTGATCGCCGCAGCTGTACTCGTGGCAGCTCCCCCTATATACTATCCGCATGTACCCTTGGGGTAATCTCCCCTAGCCTAAAACATTCTCATGAAACCTTCTTAAAATGGAAACTACTATGTAGTTTGCATTTTCTGTTCCATTATCCTTATAAAACCCTTGTATAACACTTTAAAAGCCAGGCATCCTGCATCTGCTCCTCCTCGGACATCTGCTCCACCGGCGTGGCTTGGACCTCTGGCCTGGCGTTCCACAGCAAAGGGGGTCACTTTACTGGCTTTTGGTTAGCTGGGAAATAAGGCATGGAAAAGAAAATGGAGCCTATTATAATGGGGTATATAAGGACTACTATACTGCGTTATACAGGGCCTACTACAAGGGTCCATTCCTTCATTCCTAGCCAACTTGAATCCAGTTTAAAGGGCTAACAGGGGACGTCTAGGGCTTAGTGTTTATATGGGCATGAGGTTGTATAGGCATATACACATAAGGTTTAGGGCGTATGTAGGGTTTAGGGTTCGGGGTTTTCGGGTTTGTACGTATGTTTATGTATGGGCTACGTAGGGATAGAGGTCCTTTTCACGAGGTTATAGGGGCTATATGGGCTTATATAGGCATATATAGGCTCCCTTCAACGAACACTTTGAAAGGGGCGCTAGGGTGAAGGGTGAAGACTTGTGGGGATATGTAGGGGCTATTTAAGGGTAGACAGGGTCCTCTTTGAGAGGTTCTAGAGGCCAAAGTCCCCTTCAAGGGACCCATCGTGTTTTGGGTTAATGTAGGGTTTAATTCAGGGCTTACGGATGAGGGCTTATCGGAGACACATTGCGGTTATATACGGATAGACAGGGTCCTTTTTAGAAAGTTACTATAATTGGGGGCTATATATATAATCATATGCAGGGTCCTGTTACAAAGAAATGTAGGCTCATACAGGGTTAAGGGTTTCAGGGTGGCTCTTACCATGCGTGTAGGATCATTGCAGAAGGTTTCATGGGGTTGCACGGGCAGCCGGAAGCGCTTTGCATCCCAGAAGCTCATGAAACGTTCAGACAAACCTTACCCTAAGGGTCCATGTACCCAATATTTAGGTACTTGGGATTTGGGTAATAGTAATTATAGTACAGCTTTTGGGTAAGTATATGATTATTGGTTACTTGGACCCTTAGGGTTACAAACACCTATAAATTCACTGAGGCCGAACTGGGAACTTTCAATCTCAGAAAAGGGTTTGAAGGGAACCCCAAGACAGCCAAGGCTAAAAAACAGAATCTATGCCATGCAATAAACCCGGCAATCCTCGACCCATTTCTGAAAGAATCGTAATCTGGATTTCCATGTTGTTTTTCCACAGCGCTGGTAGGTTTCATGCAGGCTTCCTGAAGCCCCATGGCAACCCTGAGCATCCTTTCGCTGAAGCTGTTGCAAGCGGCGCCTGGGAACGGAAGAGCGTTCCCTTCGATCCAGCTCCAGCTGCTTGAGCAACTCAGCTTTGTTGGGGTCCTGGAAGCTTTGAAAACACGCACGGATGCAGGGATCAGAGTAAACGACGCTGTTCATGTACATCTTAGATGGGTTGAGGGGCTCATGGGGCTGAATGCAAAACAATTCACAGGTAGGTGAGGAAAATCTTGACAAAGGTTGCAGCAGTGGTAGCCACAGCAGCTGCAGCATCGCAGTATCAGCAGGGGTGTTGGTGTTCACTGGACCTTCCCCTGAGATTTCAGCTTTCTCTAGAAAAGTGTTTCCGCGCTATTGTTGTGGTCAGGGACTGGAAATTATGTCTCCGCGCGGTTTCGGGATATTGACGACAATTACTTTGCGGAAACACGCTGGTGACGGCGGTCTTTTCCGGCCGAACCGCGTTTTTGCCAACTGCACTTTTGAGTAGAGAACAGCGAGGACATTTGTTGTAGACGGGCCATTTTTCAGGGCAACAGCTGAAAAAAGAAGCTTCTTTCCGTGCAAAATAATAGGGCCAACATTATCAAACACGCAGTTGGCGGGTGTTCAGGGGGCAGACGTGCGCAAATCCTACTTCACATGAAAGGCTACCACCTGCGCGAGCTTGGCGGCACGCTTCTCAGACTCCTGGAGCTTGCCGAAGTGGCTCTTCGCCTGTAATTGGGGATTCAGCCTAGAAGAATCACCTCAATTATCCTGGAAGGAGATAACATGCGGGGGGAATCCCTCAAGCACCATGGCCACCCAACCCACCGAATAAGCTCATGGGGCTGCGGTGTCCCTAAGTTGAGCGATTCAGATTACCAAGATGACCTGAAGGTTTTTTCAGGACGCAAATCCCCAACATCCCAGCATTCAGACACCCCACACCTTAAACCCTAAACCATGCACCTTAAGAATTATAGCCCCAAACAAGGCCTCTCGAGGAGAGGGTTTCCAGTTGAAGCCTCAATAAAAGCCTCCCTCCTGTTGTCTATATTTATATGCAGACCAAAAATAGGATTTGGGATATTTCCCAACAATGGAGATTGACATGGAGCAGAAAATGGAATGCACAAAAGGAAGCTGGGTTTACAGAGATAAGTCGCTTCCAGAATATTATCCTAATTCATCCTAGGTTCCCTGGACAGTTCTGGTATTGGGTACCTGAGATAAACTTCAAATGATATCGGCTGGTATCGAATATTCTCTAGGTTTCTGGACTAATCTGACGCCGGCAACTCCCTGAACCCTAAAACCTAAACTCTTAGTATCCCCCTTAATGACCCCTATAGTAGTCCCAAAATAAGGGACCCAATATAGACCC